GCCGTTCACTTTTTGTTTGTTTTTCGCATGTTGTTGGCTTGGGCCCACCTCCAAGTCAAGTTCTTAAATGTCATACTTCCCGATGTCGATCGCCTTCTTTTCATGTCATGTAGTTAGTTAGTTTGGGCCCACTTCCAAGTCACATTCTGAGATGTCATACTTCGCCACGTCGATGACCTTTTTTTCTCGTGTTGTTGGCTTGGGCCCACCTGCAAGTCAATTCCTTAGGTGTCATACTTCCCCATGTCGATCGCTTTTCTTCTTTCTCATGTTGCTGGTTGGGGCCCACCTCCGAGTCAAATTCTTTGATGTCATACTTCCCCGTGTCGGCCAGGTTCCTTTTCTATCATGTTGCTGGTTTGGGCCTACCTCAAAGTCAAATTCTTAGATGTCCTACTTCCCCATGTCGATCGCTTTTCTTCTTTCTCATGTTGCTGATTTGGGCCCTCCTCTAGGACAAATGCTCAGATGTCATACTTCCGCATGTCGGTCACCTGTTGTTTCTTCTCATGTTTTTGGATTGGCCCACCTCCAAGTCAGGTCCTTTGATGTCATACTTCCCCATGTCGATCACCTTTCTTTTTCTCATGGTGTTGGTTTGGGCCCACCTCCAAGTCAGACTCTTTAATGTCATACTTCCCCACGTCGATCATTTGTTACTTTTTTTTCTTCGCATGTTGTTGGGTTGGGGCCCACCTTAAAGTCAAATTGTTAGATGTCATACTTGCCCATGTCGATCACTTGTGTTTTTGTTTTTCGCAAATTATTTGTGTGGGCCCACCTCCAAGTCACATTCTGAGATGTCATAATTACTTGCCGTCAATCACCAATCTTTCTCTCATGGTGTTGGTTTGGGCGCACTTCCAAGTCAATATCTTAGATGTCATCCTTCCCCATGTCGATCACCTTTTCTTTTTATCATGGTGTTGGTTTGGGCGCACCTCCAAGTCAATTTCTTAGATGTCATCCTTCCCCATGTCGATTACCTTTTCTTTGTATCATGTTGTTGGTTTGGGCCCACCACCAAGTCACATTCTGAGATGTCATACTTCCCCACGTTGATCACTTGTTCTTCCTCATGTTGTTGGTTTGGGCCCACCTCCGAGTCAAACTCTTAGATGTCATTCTTCCCCATGTTGATCACCTTGCTCTTTTATGTCATGTAAGTTCGTTTTGGTCCCACCTCCAAGTCAATTTCTCAGATGTCATAATTCCCCATGTCGATCACTGTATTTTTTCTTATGTTGTTTGTTTGGCCCGCCTCCAAGTCAAGTTCTTAGATGTCATATTTCCCCATGTCGATCACCTTCTTTCTTTCTCATGTTGTTTGTTTTGGTCCCACCTCCAAGTCAATTTCTCAGATTTCATAATTCCCCATGTCGATCACCTTTCTGTTTTCTCATGTTGTTGGTTTGGGCCCACCACCAAGTCACATTCTGAGATGTCATACTTCCCCACGTCGATCACTTGTTCTTCCTCATGTTGTTGGTTTGAGCCCACCTCCGAGTCAAACTCTTAGATGTCATTCTTCCCCATATTGATCACCTGGCTCTTTTATGTGATGTAGTTCGTTTGGGTCCAGCTCCAAGTCACATTCTGGGATGTCATGCTCCCCCATGTCGATTGTCTTTCTTTTTTCGCATGTTCTTGGTTTGGGCCTTCGTAGATGTCATACTTCCCCATGTCGATCACCTTTCTTTTCTGTTTGTTGTTGGTTTGGGCCCACCTCTCAAATTCTCAGATATCACACTTCCCCCCACCTCCAAGTTAAAGTCTTAGATGTCATGCTTCCCCATGTCGATCACCTGTCTTTTTCCGACGGTGTTGGGTCTTTTTTCCCGAATGCGTAGCGAAGGGTTCCCGTTAGTACGTGGGGTCTGGGGGTAAGGTCGTGTTCGCTGCGTTCGCGAGCGTTCGAAAGCGTCCGAAAGCGTTCGCAAGCGTTCGCATGTGCAAAAAGTTGCCGTGCCATTGGGATTGTCGCAAAAAGTGACTCGTCGATGAGTCTTGGAGCGCTGAATTCGTTGTGCCCGTGCGTGAACCGTGTCTGTTGCAGCGTTGCGTGTTATTTCGTTGCGCAGGCGCAGTGTTTTGGAAGGCTGCGTGTTCACGTTGCCGTGCCAGTGGGATTTGCAATCCAGGGGTGGTTGTTTTGAGGCGTCCTGCTTGGCAGGCGCGTGATAGTGTTTGCGCCGGCGCCGTTTTCGTTGGCCCTGTCGTACAATCGGCTCGTTTTCACGACTGCAGATTTGCAAGAAATCGGTTGAAATCACTCTGGCGCTACAGTCCCGCGCTAGTTTTCCGCGCGCAGTGCGAGAGCGTCAAAGTCTGATTTCAGCATTTTGCACGCCTTGCATGTTGCTGCAGCGTGATGTTTAGTGACAGGTGCAGCACTTTAGAGCTTTTTGTGCAGATTTCGTGGCAGGCGCAGCACTTTGGAGCTTTTCGTGCAGATTTCGTGGCAGGCGCCGCACTTTAGAGCTTGCGCGCCCATGTCGTGGCAGGCGCAGCACTTTGGATGGGTCGACTTGCTCTCGCTGTGGCGCGGTGCACTTGTTGAAAATGCAAAGCGAACCCTTTGCGCACTTTGGGTGGTCCCAATCGCTCTCGCTGTGGCGCGGCGCACAAAGTGAGTGCACAGTGAACCCTCTGCGCACTTTGGGTGGGTCGCATCGCTCTCGCTGTGGCGCGGTGCACACTTTGAAAATAGAAAGTGAACCCTCTGCGCGCTTTGGGTGGGTCGAATCGCTCTCGCTGTGGCACGGTGCACGTTTTGAGAACGCGAAGTGAGCCCTCTGCGCACTTTGGGTGGGTCGAATCGCTCTCGCTCTGGTGCGGTGCGCATTTTGAGCATGCGAAGCGAACCCTCTGCGCGCTTTGGGTCGGTCGAATCGCTCTCGCTGTGGCGCGGCGCGCATTTGGAGACAGAAGTGTCGTTTAGAAGTGTCGATCAGGAGTGTCGATTAGAAGTGTCGTTGAGAAGTGTCGATCAGAAGTGTCGTTCAGAAGTGCCGTCAGCAGTGTCGTTCAGAAGTGTCGATTAGAAGTCTCGATCAGAAGTGTCCATCAGAAGTGTCGTTCAGAAGAGAAGTGTCGCATCGCTCAGTGTCAAATAGAAGAAGCGTTGCTCAGATGTCTCGATCAGAAGCGTCGATCAGAGGTTTTCATCAGAATTGTCACTCGTGTCGCTCATGAAGTGTTGCTCAGAAGTGTCGGTCAAAAGTGTTGCTCAGAAGTGTCGACCAGAAGCGTTGCTCGGATCGAAGTGTTGCTCAGAAGTGTTGCTCAGAAGTGTCGGTCAGAGTTGTTGCTCAGCACTGTCGCTCAGCAGTGTCGCTCAGAGGTGTCGCTCAGATATGTGTGTGTAGAAGGGTCGCTCGAATCGTCGCTTAGGAGTGTCGCCCAGGAGTGTTGCTGATGTGCGTGTAGAAGTGCGTATGGCTCAGAAGTGTCGCTCAGAGGTGTTGTCCGCAGTGTCGCTCAGGAGTATCGCTCAGAAGTGTTGCTCAGACGTGTCGCTCACAAATGTTGCTCAGGAGTGTCGCTCAAAAGTGTCGCTCAGATAGAAATGTTGCCCGAACTGTCGCTCAGGAGTGTCGCCCAGAAGCGTCGCTTACGTGTGTGTGTGTGTAAAGTGCAAAAGTGTCACTTGAAGTGTTGTTCAGAAGTGTCGCTTATGTCTGTGTGTAGAGGTGTCGCTCAGTTTGCCGTAGTTTGTCGCTCAGAATTGTGGCTTCAGGATTGGCGCTTGACGCTTACATGTGTCAATCAGAGGTGTCGCTTAGGAGCGTAATTCGAAATACCGCTTGTAAGCGTGTTCAGAAGTGTCGCCGTTGCTCAAGCTCTTGCTCAGAAGCGTCTCTCAAAAGTGTCAGTGACAAAAGCCGCTTACGAGTGTTGCGTTGAAAAATATTTAGAGGTGTCGTTGAACGGTCGGTCACAAGCTCAAAACGTCGCTCTAAACATGTCTCCAGCTGGACAACATTGCTCGGGTTGACGAAATGCGCATTCCCAAGGCCATCTTTTGCATTCGGGTTCGTGGCTTCTATCAGGTTTTCATGATGTTGGTTTGGGCCCACCTCCAAGTTGAACTCTTAGATGTCGTACTTCCCCATGTCGATCGCTTTTTGTTTTTCGCATGTTGTTAGTTTCGGCCCACCTCCATCTCAAATTCTTAGATGTCATACTTCCCCACGTCGGTCAGCTTTCTTTTTTATCATATTCTTGGTTTGGTCCCACCTCCAAGTCAAATTCTTAGATGGCATGCTTTCTCACGTCGATCAGATTTCTTCTTTTCGTGTTGTTAGTTTGGCCCCACCTCCAAGTCAAATCCTTAGATGGCTGGCTTTCTCACGACGATCACCTTTCATTTTCCTCATGTTGTTGGTTTGGGCCCACCTCCGAGTCAAATTCTTAGATGTCATGCTGCCCCATGTCGATCACCTTTTTTCTTTCTCATGTTGTTTGTGTTGGTCCCACCTCCAAGTCAATTTCTCAGATGTCATAATTCCCCATGTCGATCACTTTTTTGTTTTCTCATGTTGTTGGTTTTGGCCCACCTCCAAGTCGAATTCTTAGATGTCATACTGCTTTCATGTCGATCACCTTCCTTCTTTCTCATGTTGTTGGTTTGGGCCCACCTTTAAGTCATATTCTTAGATGTTATACTTCCCCACATCGATCACCTGTCTTTTTCTCGTGTTGTTGGTTTGGGCCCACCTCCTAGTCAAATTGTTAGATGTCATACTGCTCCATGTCAATCACCTTTCTTTTTTTTTCATGTTTTGGCGCGATATGCGCGAGGCTGTCTGGGTCGCGAGCCCGCCGCTTTATTTGTTGGTCCTGCCCTGTGGAGGCAGCAGAGGCAAATGAAGCAGCTGGCGTTGCAAAAAAGCAAGCTTCTGGCTGAGACGCATGAGAATCTCGCCAGCAAATCGAACAAGCATTCGGCGTGTGAACCGGGAATTCGGCGCAAGTCCAGTCCTGCAAGCTGATGCGAGGATGCTGACAGGACCAGTCGGGAAGCCGAGTTGAGCAGAGACATTGGTGGCCATTCAGGGCTGACCGAGGCAGACGCCAAGACCATGGGCCTTCCCTCAGTCTTGCAGGTTGACGAGGCGCCGCGAGGTTCTTAGGGCAGCTCAGGGACCCAACGCCATCCAATACTTGCATACTTGCACCATCTTGCGCCCAACTGCGCAACTGTGGTGCCCAAAGGGTTGATGCGCTGGCGCCAGGGCAGTCATAGCAAGCTGGCCGAGAAGCTGGCAGCAGCCAACCAGGCGAGCATCACGCTTGTTTACGCACGCCTTTGCCCGGCAGCTTGGGTTGGGAAGGCCCTCACAGGGGAGAAAGCAGCACTGGCAGAGCGGCAGCAGGACCTGCAGAAGGCGCAGAGTGCGGTTGTCAAGGTGGGCAGCGGACGGTCTGCAGCTTGCCGAATGCAGCTCGATCCTGGGAGGTGGCCACTACGCTCCGCGATGCCGAGGCCGGCTTCAAAAGGAAGTGGTGCGGCCGCGGCGGACCCATGCGAAATTGCATGAGGTGGCGGGCCTGAAGAAGCAGAACGCGGTCATGGACTCAGGCTTTGCGATTGCCTGAGACTTCGGAGAGCTTGAGGTGTTGCTGGAGAAGCTGCGCCTCACATCCCGATCAGACAAGGCCCCCTCAATGCTCTCAAGCGCTGTCCACGGCTTGGATTTCTAACACTCAGGCTGAGCTCCAGCGGGCCGAAGCCGAGCGCTGGCTCAAGACATTGTGCTCTTGAGTTCTCGTCTTTCAAAGCAGCGCTTCTTTTAAATTGGCTCAAGGTCCAAGCACTTGGCCGCAACCATCGCAGAGAAGGAACTGCAGCTCGAATCTTCCGAGCAGGATTTGCACGGGCGCGAAGTTTGCTTCCAACAACATAGGCTTGATATTGCTTGATGCTTCTTGTGTTTGTTGTAGCTTGTCATGGCTAGGAGCTACGGAGAACGGCAGCCCAAGCTGCAAGCGATGCCAACATGAAAAATGAGCACCAGCGCCGCCAGCAGCGAGAAGCGGAGGCCTGACCTCAGAGCCTTGAAATCCCTTCGAGCCATTGCTTTCATGCCAGACGTGAGGTGCGGAGCAAGGCCGTTCTTCTGCAAAAGTCAGAGGAGCTGCAGCCTTTCACAGCCTTCTGCCTTCCACGTCCTTGCGTTCGCCTTCTTGCCGTTTACGCCCTTCTTGCCCTTTGCGCCCTCTGCCAGGAGAGATTAAAGAGCTCAGAGGCAGCAGTTGCCGCATTGGAGAGGAGCAGGAGCTGCGCCCTTCTGCGCGGTGAAAAGCGGGAAACCTTGCAGGAGCGACTCGCAGGCCTCCATGGAGCTCCGGCAACTTCAGGAGGACTTGAAAAATCGCCAAGTGCGATTCGTAATCCTCATACTTCTCATGGTTCTCTTCAAAAGGAGCTTGGTGTAAAGAGCCTTCGCTCGCCGGCGCCCTACCCGAGATTTGTCACGGTCTCGGAAGTTCTCTGAGGCAAGACTTGATGATGGCTGTCCTGCGGCGGGAGCACCGGCAGAAGGAACCCACGACAGCCGGAAGGGGTTGGCCGACCTTAAGATGCATCGGGCCAGGAGCTGAAGCAACAGATTGAGATGGTGTCGCGGCTTCTCGGCTGTTGGCGAGCACTGGCCTTTGTCGTTTGGGAATGAGAAGCCAAGGAACATTTCAAACCTTCAGTTCGCCGCGGGCTATGCCTTGCCTTTGGAAGGCCTTGCCTAGATTCTTTGAATTTCTTTGAGGCTTTGGAGCAGGAAGGCCTTCATCCAGTGCAGGCCTTCATCCGGCCAAGTTCCCGTGCGCCAAACACTTCTACGCCCTGAGGATGTGCAGCGAAAGATGAATGCCAAAACAGAGGCTCTCCAGGAGACATGCCTGAGATGCCTTGTGCAAAAGACATCGCAAGATCGCCGCAGCCTCCGGTCAAATGGAAAGTGTTAGTTGGAATTTAGAGCTTTCTGACAAGATCAGGACAAGACCAGCCGTGCAAAGCGCCGTATTGGCGTTGGCCTGCTGCAGGCGGTTGCACTGCGCCACTGGGCACGTGAGATCATGGTCCTTTGCAGGCCTCGCAGCACACCGCTCAGCTTCGCGCCCAGTTTCGTGCGAAGGCCATGGAAGCACAGGCAGGATTTCTTCGAATTTGTTCGAGTCAGTTGAGTCATTGAGGTTTAGGAGGTTTGGGGGTCGGTGACGCCGTGCATTCAAAGAATTCAGGAGAAGAGGCGGCTTGCCCTGTTGGAGCTGGAGGCGCGGAGACGCTTGAGGGTATGGAAGGCCCCGTCGAAGGAAACCATGTGTTCACAGATGCAGACGCAACCCATTTATAGAAAGCCGGCATCCACGGAAATGGGTTGGCATGTTTTTTGGCGGGTCATGTGACTGCGAAGAGTCGGCACGCTCGAGGATGTTAGAATGCGACAGGAATCTCCATTGCCATTCTGTTGTTTTTGGGGGTGCACGCGCTAGATGGGCAACTCACAAGGACAAATGATGCCAACACGGAAAATCAAGCATATGCAGCCGAAGACAAGAGTGAGGCGCAGACAAGAAGGAGGCGAAGAGAGGGGTGGCACCCATGACAACGTTTGAGCGTGCCACTCCCCGCCGAACTTGGCACACACACACACACATGACGCCAGCGTCTATGGCCGAAATCAGAAGCAAAATGTGGGCAAACAAATGTGAATACGTGCTGTTATGTGTGAGCCTTGGCCTGAGTTAGACAAGACGTTACCAAGTGGCATTGAACAAAAGCATCAGCGCCAAGTTGAGCACGAGAAATGTTGTTCCCGCGAAAGGCTGGACTGGACCACTCGATCTTTGCATCCGGTTATGAGTAGAACCCTAAGCCACTACAGGGCACATGGGCCACAATCAAAGCCCGGTTTGACTGGTAAGGGACAGTCCAGAGTCCCGGCCATTCTTAGGTGCGGCCTCCCATTTAACTCTTTACATGAGTTTGGGTATCGTCACGGACGGGGAATTAGAACAACATTTGGGACACGGCGAGCAGAACGTCCTCTTTCGCGAAATTCATTTAAAGCATAACAATTAGAACATCGGAGACTTGGATACTCACATGTTGGCCACGTTGAGTGCAGTATCGACATAGACTGATTCAGCAGTCAATTATCACGATGACATTTATGGCCCAGAGGTACATGAGGTAGGTCCCCATGTAGTCAGTTGCATGTTGTACATTCAAGTGGTTGCCAAAGCATGATCCAATCACTGCTTTGGCTCAAGTGCTGAAAACAGCGCGTTGCACCGCGCTAGCCCCAAGGTTAAGGGAGAGGTCGCAGTCACGGAGGGGTTCGTTCCTTTTAAGGTCCCGGGTTCCCCCGTTGTTGACAAAACTGTGTTTCCCCCTCCTTTGAGTGGTTATCAGCCGTAACGCTTTTCGGGTAAACGAACCCTTCCGTGACTGCGACCTGTTGGTCGCACATGGAAGTCGGCCCTCACCGCGGCACACGCGGTGGGAAAGGGCCGCGTGCCCGATTGTACAACACTCTGCAACAGATCGTCGTCGACGAGTACAAGCGGCAGAACAGACGATTCCGGTGGATCAGGTTTGCGGACGCCTCGAAGCAACAGGTCGAGGCGCTCTTTTCCTGGCGCGAGTCACTGGATAGTTGGCACCTGTGGAATTTTGACCAAGAAGCCTTCGACGTGATCCAGGCCGCGGACAACGCTTATCAGCAGCGTCTCGCATTGGTTGAAACCACAGGAGTGGTATTGCCGCAGGGTGCGCCATCTCAGGATCAAGCCGCAGCCTCAGGCGCGGCGGGAGCATCAAGCAGTGCAGCGGACTGGCTTCGTCCTCCGACGCCTCCATCAGCTTCCTCCTGGTTGCAAGATTCGCGCACTCCTTTGCCTCGCATTCGGCCATCTGCAGAGGAAAGACAAGCCGCAAAGTCAACTCTTCGCGGGGTATACGCTAAAGCTGCGGAAACGCGGCGGGAGAGCAGCAGGGAGCGATCAACACAAAGATCGAGGTCCCCATCGCCAAGAAGGTCGAGGTCTCCATCGACATCACCGAGACGAGGACCAACTGCTGCTGCCCCGGTGGAACCACGGGCCCATAGTGTTGAACCCGCGCTTGCGCGGGAGGGAAGGCCATCTAGAACTTCCCTAGCCACTCGGCCCATCGTCTTGGCTCCACAGAATAGCATTTACCCTGTGACGAGGTTTGACGAACACGGTACCTGGGTATTGGTGCGGGAGGCATCACAACCACGTGAAGCGGCTCCTCGTCGGCGAGCGCAACGGACGTCTGGGCAGCTTCGCCAAGCCGATCCTTACCTCCTCGCTGACGAGACGTGGAGGGACCCGCCAAGGAGGTCCTCCACGAGCTCACGCTCACGGTCTCCTGACCGCCGCCCGGCGCCTGCGGAAACCTTCCGCCTCGACGCCTACAGCTCGGACGAGGACCCACCGCAAAACTTGGAGTCCATCAGGACGGGCAGGTCAGCATACGTGCCTCGGCGCGTTTACGAGGCGCCGACTCACTCCGAGCCCATCGCGCTTCACAGCCGAAGAATCGGGGCAGTTCAACCGCCGCCCCCAAAGGCCGCTCCCAAGGTCATCTTCGGCAGCAAGCCACCGTTGCCCAAGGAGGTCCCCAAGGCAGTTTCTCCAGCGCCTGCAAAGGCAGACATCCCGAGGAAGTCACCGCCAAGGGCCAGATCTCCGGTTCGGACTCAGAGTGCATTCGGGTACAAGGCACCTCCGCGAGGCTTGAACAAGGCCGAACCCAGAAGCAAATCGAGCTCAAACCCGCCACAATTCGGGTACATCGTCAAGCCGCCACCTCCGCAGGTCGTTCAAGCAGCTGCTGCTAGCGCTGCAACTCCCGTTGCTGGCACGCGATTCCGCTCGCCACCAAGGAGGGCACCGCCTGCGCCCCCGCCGCCACCACCTCCGCCTGGAAGGCCGGTGCCGCCCAAGGAGCTTATTGTTGCTCTTGACTGGCACGGAGTTCTTGACGTTGGGCAGCAGGGACCCCACCTCAACCCGGAAGTGATCCGACATCTCGTTCAGTTTGCAGCGGACTACGCACCTATAAATTTTATAGTGCTATCCTTCGTGGGCAGGGCTGCCAGCGAGTATCGCCGCCGCGAATTTCAGGTCGCCCTGGAGCACGCGCGGGCAACATCTGGACTCACTTTTTCTGCGATAAAACTCGTTCACGAACGGTTGGGAAGGGGAGGCAAAGCAGACGCCCTGCAAGGGCTGGGCGTACACGCCCTTATTGACGATACAGCATCGATTGTCCGTGAAGCTCAAAAGACAGGCATCGCGGCGTTCCGCAACTTTCCGCACTTCGGTCCGAGCGGATTTGCCAACGCGCTTGAGAACCTCGGTGAGTTCATTGAATCCCGGAACAGACAATTCATTCCGGCGGCAAGGGGCCTGCATCCATCGCAGTACCTCGAGGAACTCCACCGATCTGCATCTCAGCTACCCGCCAGCCGGGTACTTCGGTAGCTATTGCTGCAAGCCGTTAAAACCGTCGCTTTGCGCGGTACAGCTTTTGCAATTACAAGCTTTCGATTTGCAGACAGATTCTCAATACAGCTTGGCAACATCCCTCGATAAAGCACCATAGTGCGGCAGTGCGGATCATTCAATCTACAAGTACAATTACAAATACAGAATTCATCAGGTGCAAAGCAGCAGGGCGCATTTTCTTGAGTGGCTCACTTGAGCGTTTCGCAACGTATTTTCTTGAGTGGCTCACTTGAGCGTGGCGCAATCAGCTGCCAATCCAGGGATATCTCCTCGTAGCACCTTTTGACACGCTGCTCAAAGCGCGTGGAGCTAGCTTCGTGTGAGTGCAAAAGTTGCATTGCTGTGTCATGGCTTCAACGGGTTTGTCACCGCCATCAGAACCCCGTTCAAGGTCAACCCCAAATAGGGATTCCGAACCGGATGACCCTGACCTAGCCATGGTTCCTGCAGTTATGTCCACAGTTCGCACATCCACACCTCAAAGAGCAGCCCAAACACGACCATCATCACCCCCGTGTGGTCCGATCGTGTCAGAACCGACATCATCCGAAGCTTCCCCAGTCATTCAGTTTCCTTCACAGGGATCGCAATTACCTGACCCGATGACTAACGTACCCGCTGCGGCATTTATAGCTGGAGCTGCGGTGCAGCAAGCTCATCGAGCATCCGACCTCGCTGCTCAGGCAGCCAATCACGCCTTGCACCAACAGCAGGCCGCCGATCAGGCGAGACAAGAGGCCGGATGGATCAGGGAAAGGGCTGTAAGAGAAGTTTCAGACGTTAGGGTTCAGGCCGCTCAGCTAGCTTCGCAAGCACAGCAGGCTGTACAAACAGCACAACAAAGTGAGGCTCAGGCTAGGCAACTCATTGAGCAGACACGACAGGAAGCCTTAGGCCATGTCGAGAACGCACGACAGGTTGTTAATGCCACTCAACAGGACGCTCAGCAAGAGGTTCAACGCATTGTTCAAGAGGCTCAACAGGCAATCCTACAAAGGGAGCAAACCATTGCCAGTCAAGAGCATACCATTCGTGGATTGTCCCAGGAAAATTCTGTGATGCATCAACGACTTGGTGATCTCGAACGTGTTGTTGCGCAGCTCACCCAACAAGCTCGTGCGACCCCTGTTCCGATGCAAGAGTCCCCGCCGAAAGCCGCATCAATAGCCGAAACAGCTACGGAAACAAGCGCGGCTAAGGCCTCAAGTCAAGGCACAGTTCCCCCAGGAACCCATCAGCCGGTTGGAGCACCTCAGGTTTCAAGTTCACAAGATGCCTCCGGTGTTGCCGCATCGTCGCAAGGGAATGCTTTTACAAGTACTATCCCCGACCCTCCGTGTGGTTCTGTTCAAAGTTCAGGACTTGGTCACGATGCCCCAGCTGATTCAAGGGACCCTGGTGGGGGTGCAACAAGTCAACATCTCGTAGGCCATTCGGCAGTGCTAGGAGCAGCGTCCTCTGTTGGAGACGCAGCCCCCGGCGCGTCGAGGACTAGCGGGTTGGGTAGAGACGGTACAAGGGATCAAGCCGATGTGAGAGTGCAAGTGACGGCTTTAGCGGAAATGGTTCAGCAGCTTTCCCAATTGGTTGCTAATCAAGTGGCTCCGCCACCTCCGCCTCCGGCCGCACCACCTCCAGTGCCTCCCATTCCCCTTTTTGGGGCGCCGCCTCCGCCGAAAGCTGGCAATGGCACTCATGTTCCACCAGTACCAATCACAATGTTGGGAGGGTTATAC